CAATGATATCGATCGATTCAAATCGAAATCAAATGCCATTTTGTTATATTTGTTATAATCAAAACGATTTTTAATTATTTGCAAAAATAAAAATATCTTTTCACATTGTTTTACCATCCAGGGTTGAAACTAATGTTGAATTTTTTTTTTTGTTTGTTTCCAAGCCAATTTGAATGCAATTGGTCTTATTCTCCACTGATTTCAAATTGTAGTCCCATCCCTGGCAGGTGCAGAAGCCACTGCCTTCATTCCTTTCGAACCATAAATTTTGAATTCCGGCCCAAGTTACAAATCAACTGACTGCTGTGGCCAACTCTGCGCCGACTTGGGCAGCCTCACGAAATGAACTACAAATGGTCATTGGGGGGGCCAACAATATTATCGCCTTTTTCTAGCATTTCTTCGTCGTTTTTTGTGCTCTGCGAATATTTGCCGAACAGTGGAATAAACCGTGGAACGTCACTTCGATTTGGTCGCAGTCGTAACTCAGACATTCGCTTTCATTAGCTGCTCCAAATTGTGGCAACATGCTGACGTTGTTGTAGTTGTTGTTGGCTGTTGTTGGTTGTGTTGGCATCCGCGCATTATCCTTTTTGCGCTGATAGGCGCGACAACGGCACCAGCACCAGCTCCGGCTGTGGCTGTGGCAATGGCTCTCGCACTGCATTGATAAAGTGTGCCATACCTTGGGGTTAATGTCGCGCCAATGATTTAGCACCTTGTTACAGGGCGTGCAAGTCGCTTAATTGCGCTGATCGCGTGTGGACAGCAACAGATATTATGTATATATATACATGCATATGCATGTATTGGTACGTATCTGAGACGGGACCACACTGGGCGCGTGTCCAATTGCATTTGTGTGGGTGTCCGCGCTGATTTGTTGTGATAAATAAGTGGCAGCTATTGATTGCAACATACTTACTCAGGTATATACATACATACAATAGGGATCATTTGTATTTTGACAAATTAATCTAATTTACCAGAAAGCCATAGCGTAATTGTAATTATGTCCTTACTCAAAACATTCTTCTATTAATAACTCGAAAAACTTCGAATCGGTATAATATAAATATTTTCTTTTTCTGTTAAAGTTAAAATAGACACAGAAAAGCGACTAAAATATGCCTTTTCGGAATAACTTTGAAAGCTAAGGCTAACTACCAAATTAGTAGTCGAATTATTTTTATTTCATAAAAAGGTATGGAATATTTGTTGATGATAATTTAATATTTAAGTTACACTCGATAAAGAACCCTATATGTATATGGTCTTATATTAATTCGATGTAGATATAGCAAATATAATAATTATATTATATTATGAAGGTGGCATGTTTTTAATCAAAGTTCTCAAATAAATTTTTATTTATTATAAAACGTGTTTGTGTAACTTATTTGTGGATTGACTCAATCGTAATAGGGTGTAGGTTTTCGAAAGCGCATTTTCGAATAGTTCAAAATTGATTATATTGTGAAATGTTTCCATATAATTTAGCAATGATCCAGCTGGTCAGATGCCAACACTTTTTAGACTTTTTTATTTGATATTGGTATACCCACCAGTATTGTAATTATTATTTCTTTATTTGAATTAAATCTAAAGAAGTTGATGGAACGTCTATTTTAGAAAATTGGAAAAGTTAAAAAAAATACTTGGAAAGTGTTTGGTTAAACACCTCAAGAATAGTTTGCATAGCAAATGGAAATACAGCAAAAAGCTGGCCAAATTAATTTGTAACAAAAAAACGGAAATGCCAAAAATATAATTCAAAACAATTTAATTTTTACAAATTGTGTGAATTTTTTGGAACAACACAAAGTACATTAGGCGATCCTCGAAGACTAGATTATTCAACAAATTATTGTTAGCATTATTAAATGTATTATTTGTCAAAATATGAATGCCGACTAGTGTATAGTATGTACGAGGGTGTAGCTATACTTGTGTGTACGCGAGTATACTATATGGCATGTGGATATAACATATAAATTCTCAGATTTCTTGCTTTTCATTAAAATTTTTTAGATTCTTGCGCTAAATAAGAACAAACAGGCCGTTGAGTTGAGTTTTCGGTTCAATCGAAGCTTCGGTGCGGCGCCCCATGGTGCCATCATATTTTTGTTAATCCCAACGAGTGGTGGCAGTGACGGTGGCGATGCGTTCCGGCCGAACATAAAATTTTGTAATTTATGAAGGGCACAGAGTCGGGCAATATCCTGCGCATTTATGACACGTTCGGAGTTCCAATTGTTTTTTTGGCTGCCACCGTCCCCGTTTGTTCGCCTTTTGTATAAAGTATCGCACGGCCACGCTTTGATTAACCTTAAGCGCATAAATAGTGGATTCAATCAGTTGCCTCTGCCTCTTGCCAAGGTGTGAGCGGTCAGTTTTATAACTGGCATATATGTACATACAAATACTTGTATGTTTGTATGTAGACCAGACAGACATATAGACACTCAGACATCGCATGGCCGCGTGCAACTCATTAGGTTCGATTCTTCTTGCGCTCCAAAAGAAAGAGAGTTGGCTGTCATTGTTATTGTTGGCGTTGGCTTTTGAGCGCTTTTTGTTGTTGCTGCTGTTGTTGTTAATCTTTGTGTTGTTGTTATTGTTGATCTTGTTGTTGCTGATGTTGTAATGCTTCAGTGCCAGTGCCGCGCTTTTGTTGCTGCCTCTTGTTGTTTGCTCTGCATCGGCAACAAGTTTAGACGCGCTTTTGTCATATTTTCTTGCCTTTTTTTCTCAGTGATATGAAAAGACCGTTTGGAAAATGAAAATGTTTGTGTTTGTCTTGTTTAGCTGTATTGATTATTGGATATTGATTGCTGCATTTTATTGAGGCAAGCAATAACAAAAAATTAAAAGAAAAAAAATCGAAGTTTTCCAATGCTGTGCAGCTACTACGCGGCATAAAAAGAAAAGAAAGATGCAGCTAAATTATTGATATAAAAACATGCATACACTTGAGGCCCCAAGAGGCTGAGACAGAGACTGCGTCGCCATTTGGTCTGGTCTAAGCCAGACAGGCTGGAACCAACTGCAGCCTCCAGCCAGCAGTTCAACCAGCTAAGAGCCACCAGCTGTGTGCGATTACGAGTTGTCGTTGTCGTTGTCGTTGCCATTGCTGTTGTCGTCCAGCCTCGACTCTCCAGCCACTCGAGGAGGCTGCACATTTCATACAAAGTCATCGTCATCATCATCGTCGTCGTCGTCTTGGTCGGAACCAAATGAAATGACAGTCGCCACTTTATATGCAGCCACACTAAGAGGCTGATCAATGGCTGATCTTTAGTCATTTGGAGCTGCCTTTGCCTTTTGACAGCAGCCTGTCCTAGGGCCACAAGCTTTGGATTGTTCGACTGCTCTTGTCTCTTGAGAAATGCATTTTCATATTGTTTTGATCTGAAATTCGTCGTAATTCGAACAGCATTTTGACAGTTGCATTTGAAATTCCAGGAACTGGGCAAGCGACCGCACGCCATGTCAGTTATACTCGTAGCTGTTATCCATTGCCTCGGTCCTAAGTGAACGATAAAGTTAATTGAGTTATTTGAACTGACAGTTGATTAGTCTGTGTTGTTGTTGTTGCTGTTGCTGCTTTTACTTGTGCTGTATATATGAGCGGTTGTCATTGCGGCGCTGCAATTTCACGGCGCAACAGTTAAGTGGAAAATTTGTGGCCTCTTGTTATTGTCGCTGCGATTGTTGCCGATTGTTGACGATTGTTGCGGGGCCATTACGCGTTCCCATTGTGTTCATCGCATTTTTATGCATGCGCCGCTTGTGGCTTTACGACCCACGCGCATTTTGGCATAAAATTGCAGCAGCGGCAGCAACACCAACAACACTGTGAGAAATTTCCGCGCTACAAAGTATGCTAAACGGCACAATGCAGCAACTAGGGATGAGCAACAACCCGATTAATGAAACCATTTTATTTCTCAACCCTAGACCCATCCACTTTTCTTTTTTGTCCATCTAAACGCAACTATAAAATACTTGTAAAATTCCTTAAAAAATCTAATCAGTTCATCAGTTATAGTTCTATTACAATTCCACAAACTATTCATAATATTATAAATAATATACATATTTTCAAAAACAGTTTTATTTTCAATGCTGATAACAATTTATAACGCAAATAATGCTTTATGAAGTGAAACTTCTTATGTGTGGGTTTTGATTGCTGGATCGGCAACCTTTTCTGTGATGAAACCAATAGCACGTAAACAGTCGCACATAAATGAACAGAAAGTGGACCAGCAGGCGAAAATCAGCTGTATGAAGATGAGTGCTAACGTTAAAAACTGAAATGTAAACAAATTTGGTCATATGTATTTCACAGCACATGGTTGCACGATTCTTATTCGGGTTTTCCAGAAATGCGAAATAGAACTTCGTTGTGTGAGGCTCTTGAAAGCGGATTGGCAACCCTTGATGAGCGGGTTTTATAGTTATTTATAGCGGTGCTTCAAGCCATTTTCTAGCAGGTTTTCTACCGTTTGTGTTTTCGAAACGTTTTCTGACGGATTTTTGTAATAGTAACTGTTTTCTAGTAGTAACTGTCTCCGTTGGTTCTTCCTCCTCTTCCCATATACTCTCTCCAGCATTAAGTGGGGCTGCAATTGGATATTTATCTATTACATTTCAGTCTATATACCTAGTTTTTAAAAAGTGCATGCTTCGTTTTATGTGCAATCAATTTTGTTTAGCCTATGACAGCCGTACACAGTAATCATATTATGAAGCATCTAACAAGCTGGTTTTAAAACACAACTCAATTATACAAATGCGAAGAAACTGACGTGACTTGTTTGACTTTTATGTCAGCGTGCAATGAGTTATTTGGAAATTATGCATACACTGAGAGATAAAGCAAAGCATGAGCGACAGACAGCAGAAAAGATTTATTCAACAGCACTCTCTGCCTCTATTATCAGATTTGCCCAAAAAACTATTCGATATTTCCCTTAACTGATTGATTGGACAGGATGAGAACTTGTAGTCGGAAGCTTAAACTCTGTATACCTGTCTTTTTTACCGTTACACTTACGATATTCATATTGCGGCTCTCTAACGATCTGAATTGGTTCAAATCAAAGCTTCCAACGCAAGAAGCGAAGGCCGAAGAGAACGTGAGCAGGCAGAATTACCAGACCCCGCAATTCCAGAGTCCATTGGCAAAACCGATGCCCTATTTTCGGCCACAGTCCACTTTTAGCCGGAGAGCTAGCTGGAAGCAAATATTGACATATCCAGGGGCTGTGCTGCCGCCCTCCTATCGATATAGTCGAGGTCGCACCAATGTCACGTGGGTGTTGGGTGTGCCAACAGTAGTGCGTCAGAAGAAGAGCTACCTCTTGGAAATGCTGAAAGAGCTCATTGGAGGCATGAATGCGAGGTATCAAGAGAGCTGCCTCATCGTTGTGTATGTGGGTGAGACAATAGATTCACGTATTAGGAGTATAGTGAAAGAATTGGCTGACAACTTTGGTGATGAAATGAGGCAGGGCCTCCTTGAGGTTATAGCACGACCCCCGGATTACTATTCCGACTTCGAGAGCGATTCCCAAACACTTAACGAAAACGAAAAGTATTTAAGATGGCGTACCAAGCAAAATCTGGACTATATGTTCCTGATGTCGTACGCCATGTCGCGTGGCTCCTACTACCTGCAATTGGAAGATGATGTGAGAGTGAGGGACGGCTATTTGGACTACATTGGGAAATTTACATTGCTGCATACAAATTTTCGATTGAGTCATCATCGCAGTTGGATTGTGCTTAGCTTCTGTGAGCTGGGCTTCATTGGCAAGCTCATCACAATGTCGGAGCTGAAGGCATTTTTAAAGCATGTCCAACTATTCTACAATCACCAGCCCATCGATTGGCTGCTCTATTCATACGTACAACTCAGGGTCTGTCCTTGGGATAGCTTTCAAACGCCAGGGTGTAAGAAAGATTTTGACTCATACTACATAAGAGCGGACCAGTCGCAATTTCAGCACCTGGGTGTAGAGTCCTCGCTGGAAAAAAAAGATCAAATGCTGAAAGACTCTAAATATAATCAACAAAGTGGACGACTGCGTATAAAGCATTTGGAACAGCCATGGAATTTAATAAGCTCGCACCAATATTCCCTCAGATACGATCGACTGAAATGGAAAGTGGGCGAGACCTTTATTTGGGGTTATCTGCCTCAGGCGTCTAGGCTCATTGATTTCGCGGCGAGCCACCAGTACGATGCAAAAGAGGTACGAATACGTAGCCAAGGGGTTGAGGGGTTTGACGACATCACCGTCGAGCTTTATGACCGTATACCCACTCTCGAAAGAAACAGCAGTACGACAAACGATTGTGGCTTTCTTATGGCGATAACCTACCTAGGCGGTCTGACAAGATCCTATCGTCGGATCTTTTTTTATATGCGAGAGCAAGTGGATATGTATGGCAATTGGACGGTTCTCAGGCTGTTTAGACGCTTCTTCTGGAGCAACGGAAGTTGTAACAAGTTGGCCCCCTGGACACTGGTGTTATTGCTTCATAGCGTTAACTGGACTAACTGAATGGAGTATAGAGTAAGAAATCGATTTACTCTCAATGAATATGAATATTCAACATTTAATAAAAATTGTGAATACATTTTTCAAATTGAACATTTTCGTATCTTCGATGTTTTGGATTATTTTTTTTTTGATTTACATATGTTGAAAAAGGAGAGTATAAGTCTTCATTAAAATGGTTATATTTGCTTGAGATTTGATGTCAAAAATTATTATTATGCTTTCTGTTCTTTTTAATGAATTTAAGTATTTAATTTAAAGTGTTGTTATAATATTTTTGTTTACCAAAATGGTATTATGTTTTTCCCCATTGGTTCAGTATAAGTTTTCTTCATATTAGTTCATTATAATTCCAATCGGTTTTTAAAAAATTATCGGTAAAAAAGTTTAAGGATTCTCTGAAAAATCATGGGATTTGTTTCACCTTTTATTTATTTATTATAGTTTCTGTCCTCTAAATCACAATTCTCAATAAGCCTTTTAAGCCAATTTTCCATCCCTAGCACAAACCTCTGTTCAATGCGCATAATTTAAAATTTTTTTATCTGCGCTATTCAAACTGCAAAGTAGAATGCGCAGGCGTTGTTGTCTGCAAAAAAAGTACAACTTTCCCAGCGATGTGCGCACAGGATAAAAGATTCAATTACAAGATGCTTAAGCCCAGCTGTTGACTCTTGCGTTTTTATAGACACTTATGCAAAACGCGCAACGCGCCCAAGGGGGCCTGCATGTAAATAGAAACTACTACAACAACAATGATAATAATGAAAAAGTTACGCAAACCCATCAAAATGATGGATGACACTTTGATGGAAGTCAAATGCCATTGCACTTCAGTTTTTCTGTATTTCATGCAACCGCAAAAAATCGTAAGACAAAACAGGCAGGCCACAGCTGCCAGGAAGACGTCTCCTCGTGTCAAAAATTGCGACAGCGCGCAAAAATAAAAAATAAATTAAAAATCAACAAACAGTGTCTTTAAGCAATGCGCAAAAAAAAGAAAATGAGCAATGGAACCATCGAAGTTGACATGTCAATGATTTTGAAATGCATGCAAATGGCGTGCGAAGTTGGCCCAATTGTCTAAAAATTTTTGCAAGACTGCCGCGTCGGCGCACCGCCTGGGGTTCAAATGTCACACGATCGATCGGCTCGAAGCGGCGCGGCTTTTGCCAATTTGAAATAGATCTGCACAGTCAATGCTCTTGGGGTGGATAGGTTTGAGAATGTTGTCTTGGACTTTTTCGCCACGGTTGCAATTCCTTTGTTCCGCATTAAAATCGAATACTGTGTGTGTTCATTTGCATTTGCATATGCATTGATCGTCAATGCGCAACACAACACAACACAACAGCACAGCACAGTCGATTGGCTTTCAATGGCAATTGATTTGCAAATATTGCTTCTTGGTAAGTGATACTTTCTGATGCTTTTTGAATGGGATATTCTATTAGATATATACATTGCAAATCATTGTGCCGCGATCGACAGTCAAGATCTTTGGGGATACATTTACTAATGTTCTAGTTACCAATTGATGCTCATTTACTATCAATGGAGAATGATTTTATTCTTAGTTTCCTTAACGGCCCCTTCACTATATCTGATTACAATGAAGATTAAATATGTTTCAAGCAAATAAAATCATAACATTTACATACAGAGAAACGATGCTAAACCACTTTTCTTGACCATTTTAAAAGAGTCTTTAAAGGTATTCGAAATGATTCCCTTAAGCGTTCTTATATCTACAGTAAACATTTCTTCAGTAAAATACTTATCTAACTTATATTCAAAAGCTATAATTTTAAATTGCGCTGATATGTATAGCGTTGGTTTGAAAAGCATTTGAGTTAGGTTTAAAAAACATTTTAGGCAGTTCTCTGTGCAAGTTAGGAGTAATTGGGTTCATTAGCAGCTAAATTAAATAAAATATTATGAAAAATCAGCCAATCTTTAAGGAAGGTGGAAGAAAACGAAGGACTAGATCAATCCTCAATTGCAGAAACTTAAAACATTCGTGTTCATTATTATATGTTGCAAAGATGAATTAAAATGTACAATTATGGGTTAACAGAACATCAAACAACAAAGAATTATAGTCAGGGACTAGAGTTAAATGATTTTTCAAAAATGTTTGGCCAATATGATGTTGAAATAGCAGAAAAATTACATTGATGGAAATGAAAATAATTGTTCTTGTAATGCTACCAATTTCTTTGTATAGAGTTATTTTAAGAGTGATCTTGTTCTGATGTACAACGATATTGCAGCTTTCTTATTATAATACATAATAAAACCAGTTCATATAATACTATCGAGCTGCTTTAGAATTGTCTGCATATGAAACGACTGCTATGCTTTCCACGCATAAGTTTTGGCGCCTTTTCTTGCCAGAAAATAATGTTTTCCTTCGCATGGTATTGCAATCATGGCTGCATTGTTGTCAGTAACCCCTTTTTTTCGCCAGTTGCTAATCAATGCTTAGGCAAATGCCTTGGCGCGACTTCATAGTGCTCTGATACCAATAAATAAACAACAATGAGTTAAATTCAATTGCAACTCTTCCTTTGCGACCTTTTTCACAACGTTTGTCAATCCCTGACAATTACATGCTTGCAAATTTTTTCAAATGCCCAACCTTCGTGTTCAATTATTTGGCACCTTTTGAACCGAGCGAACGACAGTTGGAACGATCGCAAAAACTCAATCAAGTCGAAAACCCACGTTGGCCCCTTTTCAAATGCAAAAACCGTGACCCTTTTCCTCTTCTGAAAGATACCGCTGCCATGTGCGATCTTTGTCAGAATTAATGCAGGTGAGGTCGCAATTTGTGCTGATCTTCGGGGGTTGCACGCATTGATTTCTTGACGCAATACACAAAATTGAAAAAACAAAAACAACTATAAAAATAATAATACGAACAGGGGCGAAAGGGTTTAGGGCCTTTGACAATCGATTGCCTAACGAATTCGGTGATTTTCTTTAATTTAGTTTTGCGTTTTTGGGTTTTTGCGTGAGATTCACCATCATATGGCAACGGTTTTGAATCGCGCGCCCATAAATCATGCGACGGTTTCCATCTTTGGAAGCTTTGCGCGTGTGAAATGCAATTCGCGCAATTGAAGAAGGTTCAACTACTGCTCGCATTCTGGCTATTGTTCGGCTACACTGTCCTCAATCTGGCGGAGAAATTTCCCACAATTTGCATTTGGCATGGCGAGCATGCGGCTTCTAATTATACAAATCGCTTCTGAGCTGCGGTCATTTAAATCTGCCCATGGCTAACTTGTTAAGTCCACCGGACCAACTTGATACTGATAAGTAAAAGCCGGCTTATGGCTTATGGCCTACGACCAACTCCTTCCTGTGCGAATGTTTGTATTCACCAGCTGTGCCAAAGAGCCTGGGAAATTCCGCCTGAGTTCAGGTGTCGCGTCATCGTCGACTGTACCTTTTCGGCCTGTTCTTACCTGTTTGTTGGCATTGTCTGGCTTTAACTACCTTTTATTTGGGAAATTCCCAAAACAAATGAAAATAAAGTGAAACGCACAACAAAAGTCAAATGCCTCGAGCAGCCAGTGTCTAAGCCCGGCGGCCATAGGCACACGTTTGGGTGAAGGCTGCCGTTGCTGCGCAGTCGACGCCAACGCCAACGCCAACGTCAACGTACACACACACACACACACACACAGATCAGTTACCACTGTATGGGTGCATGAGTGCGTCCATTCTGCCATCGCCCTGTCTCCCGGTGTGCTCTGTAAGTGATCCTCTTCTGTCTTTTCTTCACAGCGCTGTCTCTGCTTTTGTCTCTCTCTCATTGTGCGTGTTGTTATGTCTGCTCTGCTACTTGCGTTCGTCCGACTGTCTGGCCTTCCGTCTGTGTCTGCCTGCTCCTGCGTTGGTGTTTGTTTTGCGTTGGCGACAGACTGTCTGGCTTGACGCTGCCTGGGGTGCTCTCGTTTATGTACTCGCATGTACATTCATATAGATGTATGTATGTACATACACAGTCATTGTACATGTACATAACGATTATATGGCGAGTTAGTTATGGTTTCCTCTTAAAATAAGCCGAAGCAAAGTTACACTTTCTAGCCTACTGCGATATGTTTTCCAGCTTTGAATTAATTAATAAATCGGCTTCGATTCAACAATTCGTTTGCATTTACTTAAAGGACTATTACAAATTTCTGAAAGAATGTTAGGGTCCTTAATCAAGCCTTTTTTGTTTCCTTCTCCGAGTTCGAGATTCACGTTTTAAGAAAGGTATTTAAATAGAAGCACCAAAACTTAAAAGAATGTTGAATGAAACTATTTTGGATCAGGAGAACAGAAAAATAGTTAATCCTATTAATTTTGAATTGAATATAAGACTGTTCTATTTTAGATGAGCCAATCCTATACATACATATCCTATTATGTTTTACAGCACCGTCCATAACTGTTTTAGGTTAAATATTTAAATATGTTTCTCAAATCTTAAATAAAGCTGAAAATTCAACTAATAATACGAAGGAATATCCATTCATATTGATATTGATATGAGGGCGAACTTCATGTTATTTTCAGATGATTAAAGAAAAAGTATAACATTTAATCACTTTAAGTTAAGAGCGATCTATCCTTTTCGATTTTTATCTTGTTTAAATAAAAACTAAATTCTCAGCTGTACTACCAATCTTGAAATTGCAAATCCTAACTTTGTAAGCTAAAAATGCCATAAATAACTCATTATACAGTCAAAAACCATTCTAAATTACTATAATAATGAATGGTATATCCTAAGTTATCCAAAGTTACTATAATAATGAATGGTATATCTTAATTTATTATTCTGCACTCTTCGTTTTTTCAAATTCTATTTGAGTTTTCCAGCAACTTCTAGAGCTCTATATTCAAAGCAACCCTATGAGTCCTGCTCCGCTATTCCTTCTACCTTTCAAGATCAATCATATAAAGAACTGTTTTAGTATTCAAAGCTAACAACCATTTATCCG